AGTATGTGTGTGTGTGTGTGTGTGTGTGTGTGTGTGTGTGTGTGTGTGTGTGTGTGTGTTTAAGGCATTTTTGAAGTGGTAATATACTGAGTACACCTGGCAATTGGTGGGATTCATTGATGGAGGTGAACAAAGTGGTCCCTGACCTTTGCTGGTCACTGAAATCAATTGTACATGGAGACTTTTTGAAGGATTTCTTTTTTGGTCTGTCCTTTTGTGGGAGTTTTTGATCTGTAGGTTTGGTTAGGTATGGGGGTGTCCTTGGGGTTTCTTTTTAGCAGGGGTGTGTGGTAAACCTTTGACCATGCAATGGCATATCGTGTAATTTCACTAGCTGGATCTCAGTATTGCTGAATGTTGTTGGTCCGGTTAGATGTTCCATTGAATGTTTACAAAAAATTGGAGATGGGACCTTTCTGGCTGGAGGTGGAGGTGGTTCATATTTAAATGCCTTAAAGGAAACTGAAATATTTATCTGAAATTATTTAATTTACTCTTAAAACTATGAAGAAGTGAGAAATCTCTTGTTAAACAGTTTTTAAAAAACACGTTTGGTGCTATTATGGAGAACCTACAGTGTTTTGAGCTACATTATTGCAGGGCTAACGGAAGAAACACAAATGAACTAACCATGTTTCAGAACTATGGCAACCTCTTCAGTGAGGTTTTGGGTATCAAATAAGGGCATTCACAGAATAGCAGCATGATAGCTTGTGCTCTTCAAGAAATGGGGGGACGGTGAAGGAGAGCAGGGAAATCTTTACAAATGGAGAAGAAAATCAAGAAAGAAAAATGTTGCGTTCATGTTTCTAAGTGGTGGATGGTAATTCCTGGCACATAAATAGTACTTGTGTGGCACTGCATAGCTAAAGAGCACAGTACAGACAATAAGTAATCTTAAACAGTTTATCAGGAAGGAAAACTACCTGTTACCTATATGGAAATTGATATACAAGTCTCCTATGCTGCAGAAGTCTACCATGTGCAATTAAAATGTTAGTGTTAGCTTGTTTGTAGATGGTATGTTAGAGAATTCTCACGATCAGACCTATTTCATTAGCATTTATCTTTGCATCCACACCCAGTAGTATAGTAAAGTGGTGCTAGCGCATGGTTTGCCCGTGCTTCTGTTTTTTTGCCAACACTGTAATGTTACAAGATGGCTTGCATTAAGAACAGGGATTATTGGAGCTTGCTTGTCTGTAGAATATTTGTAGCAAACTTGTGAAGAGATGCTTGGCATGCAAGGGACTCTAAATGACTTTATCTAAAATTCTCCAGGATAGTCAAGGCTATAAAGAAGTTAAGTTACACTATTTAAAAATAAATATTTTAAAGATCATCATCTGTGAAGGGTGAAGTATAAAATTCCAATCTCTTTAACTTATATGTACTGAGTGCCCAAGAATTCAGGAAGAGAGGAACATTTAGCACATTGATACTAGATCACACTACTTACAAATGTGAGTCCATGAATTTTCATATATTTGATGTTTTTTACACAGAATGAGTCTTAAGTTTGTAAGATGTTGCTTAACCTGTTATATAATTAGTACGCAAGTTTTTATTTTTGGCACTGCTGTTCTTAAATTTGACTCTTTCAATTTCTTCTCCCCCCTCCCCCCCCCACATTAGGGAATGTATATCAAATCAACTTATGATGGATTACATGTAATTACTGGAACTACAGAAAATGTGAGTATGTTTAATTCAATTTGAAGTAGATGTATTTTTAATTTAAACTATTCTGGATGAAGCTATGTTTAGGCAGATTCCTGAGGCTTTTGTTTCTGCCATGTATGGATCTCAAAATCCTATTGCGTGCAACTTTGTGAGATACACTATTGGTTTATCCTGGATTTGTAAAGATTATGCACATGTATATGTTTTAATAGAATAACACAAGGACATCGATCTTCTGTTGATATAATAGCTTGGTCAAGTAGTCACATTTTGTAGGAGACCGCCTTCTACATTGTGGTGGCACACATCTAGGTATGATCCTATGTTTCTCTTTTGGTGATGGCCCTGAGAAGGGCCATTTCACTTGACTGTCACTTGAGTTGCTTTTAGACTGTGAGGCCATCGATTGCTGTTCGGTTGCCATGTTGATAGCTTATGCCAAAGCACTTCACAAGAGAGACTTATTGTATAAAACATGAACTGGCAAGATTTGTGAGACGAGCTCTGGAAAATCTGCTGCGTGGACTTGAACTCTTCAACACCATATGTCATCACAATGAGAATCGGTGAGTTTGCGATCCCCAACGTCTATAAACCACCAATGTCTCCTGTACCACACAGGTTGTGCTGAATCACAACCACCCTTTAATATGGGTTGGAGACCTCAATAGCCATCAGACATCCTGGGGTTATGAGACAATGATGCTTTAGATGAACAACTTTTTCAGTGGGCTTCGAATCAAGACCAGCATCTACTGTTCAATTCCAAGCAGCAAGAAATCTTCCGTTCAGCCGGATGGAGACAAGGCTACTTGCTGGACGTGTAGTTTGTGTTCTGTGGCCAGAACAAGTGGCCTCTAGTTGTGGAACGAACTGTCCTTGACAATTTTATGCATAGCGAGCATCCTCCTGTCATCATATATGTTGTTCTCCAAGTCCCCCCCAATCACATCACTACCAAGGCCGTGTTGGAACTTTAGGAAGGCCTATGGGAACAGCTACTCAAAAACCACAGAAAAAGTGGTTCACAGGATACCTGCAAACATAGCCAGTTTCCAGTTTAGCCTTCTTAAAGAGGGCACAAAATGGAACATCACTCTCCCCCTCTCCCCAGCTACAGGAAAGCCACAATTTTTGTTGGTTGACAGTGAGGCATTCCTAAAGGAGTACTGGATAACAGGTGACCCTGCTGCTTCAACTCCTGGAATCACTGAACGCCACGTAGTTTTTGCCCATCACTCTCATCTAGCAGAACCTAGATTCCACTCACTCAAGCAGGAAAGCCAGAAGCTGGGAATGGATGACGGGATGGATCACTTGATGATTACCTGTTCTGTTCATTCCCTCTGGGGCATTGGCCACTGTCAGAAGACCGAATACTGGGCTAGATGGACCTTTTGGTCTGATCCAGTATGGCCTTATGTAAAGCCTGGAGGCGTCTCCGTAATATGGGTGGTGTGAACTCTCCCCAGTGTAGAATGCCACATGTCACAGCCAGTGCCATCACCACCCAAATGTTCCTGAATTCTGAGTCTGAAACGGATTTTCATCACAAAAGGAAAGTGAAGAAAGAGAGCTTCATTGCTCCCTATCCGACTGCCCAGTAATATCAAAGTCATTCCTGAGAATGTGGACAAGGCCATAATGCTCATCAACCGTGTCGAAGCTGCAGGACCCAATGGCATCTTCCCACAATTCCGGAAAAACCTCGGTCAGCATGGCTGCGTGTATGCCCTTTGCCAAATGCCCAAGGTATGGCAACAGGCAGAGGTCACTGGCATCCTAAAACTGGGGAAAACGATCCAAAAAACTATCTTACTGTGGATAACATACAAGCTCTTAGAAAGCATCTTTGAGGTCTACGTCCCTAAAGAGCAATCTGGGTTTCAACTAAGACAAAGCTCCAGTGATCAGGTAAACTGGTAACTCAGATCAAAGCTGGCTGTCAATGCAGGCTTGCAACAGCAGTGGCCTTTGTGGACCTGTCCTCAGCATATAACACAGTTTGATGGGACAGCCTGCTTCTGAAAGTGTTGAAAATAGTGCATTGCAGAACACTGCTCCTACTGATAGTTATGGTCATCAACTGCAAGTTTCACATACACCTAATAGAACAGTCTTAGTAGATCTCATCTACTGAACAGCAGGCTCCTACAAGGATCGGTCTTGGCACCATTGGTCTTAATATTAATATTAATATCAGCATTATGCCATCAACCCAGTCACGGAAATTTGGCTACATGGAGGATCTCGCGTTCGTCATCCAATCGAGCACTTTCGCCCCAGTGGAATGCATCCTCACAGAAGATCTGAAAAAACTGCAGGAGTACTAGTGGTGAAGCTGACTCAGACTGGACCCTAAAAAACCCCAAATAATACTTTGCGTTTCACCTGAGCAGCCGCCATGCGAAGAATTGCCTGACTGTCACACCAAACTCAGGCACGAGGATTTCCCAAAATATCTTGTTGTGGATCATAGCCTCACATGTTGCCAACATCTGAAATGACTGCTGCCAAAATAAAGGCTAGGAACAATATAATCCACAAACTAGCTGGGACCAGCTGGGGAGCAGACGCTCATGCCTTGCGGACATGCACCTTCGCCCGTGTTTTTCTCAGCAGCTGAATGTTGCACACCAGCGTGCACAGGTAACACACATATGAAACACTGCTATGAGAGTTGTCACAGGAGTGCTGATGTCAATTCCAACAGTCTGTGTCTCCATCCTCACGTATATCTTTCTTCCATCCCTCTGAAGAGAAGCAACAATAATATGACCAGATGATAACAAACCCGAACTTGCTCATCTACAAAGACCTCCAATAGCCCCGGATATGCTGCCTTAAGTTCAGGAATCCCTTCTGGTTAGTGGCCAAAGGTCCCCAAACCTGAAGACTGTCACCAAAAGACAAGTGGCAGAGACTGTGGCAAAATAGCAAGGTGAAGAATCCAGACCTGATCACTGATCCCACAGACCAACCACGTGGCTTCACCACGTAAGATATGGATCACAGTGAACCACATCAGAACATTGCTGGGGCACTGCAATTACCTACTACACAAATAGAAGAACAGCCTATATTTGAATGTGGAGAAGATATTCAAATTTATTTAACATCTAGTGAGCCGCTGCTCACTAAGATCTTTCTCTGGTGGGATAGCCTTGATTCATTCAGTGTCTCTGGAAGCCATAGAGGGAACAACAGTCTTGGACATAGGGACATCGACCTTCATTGTTGCTTTTCAAGTTGCAAGATTAAAGGCTACCAGAATAGTCACATAACAGCTTCTGTTTCCATCATAGAATCATAGAACTGGAAGAGACCTCAAGAGGTGATCTAGTCCAGTCCCCTAAGTATTATCTAGACCATCCCTGTTTGTCCAACCTGCTCTTAAAAATCCCCACTGGTGGAGATTCCACAACCTCCCTAGGTAATTTATTCCAGTGTTTAACCACTCTGACAGTTAGGAAGTTTTTTTTTCCTAATGTCCAACCTAAACCTCCCTTGCTGCAATTTAAGTCCATTGCTTCTTGTGCTATCCTCAGAGATTAAGAAGAACAATTTTTCTCCCTCTTCCTTGTAACAGCCTTTTATGTACTTGAAAACTGTTATCATGTCCCCTCTGTCTTCTCTTCTCCAGACTAAACAAACCCATTTTTTTTTCAGTCTTCCTTCATAGGTCATGTTTTCTAGACCTTTAATCATTTTTGTTCATGCAGATATATAAATGCCTTCAAAATACCATTGGCATTAGAATATTTGCCTTATGGAATTACCAGAAATTATTGTTCAGTTACAAAGTTTTTATGGTGTCTTGTGTAAACAAATGCTTGCTGCGCAAATATGCTCTTCTGTACTTTGCTCTTATTAGGACAACTTCTCTTTACCAAAGGAGATCAGGGAGGGTAGTTTAGACAAGGAATAAACTATGCGCTTCTAAGTGGCAAAGTAAAGCAGCAGCTAAGATCACTAAAAGTTTTCCTCTTGGGTTTAGGATGGTGCTGTCTAGATACCAGTCCACTGGTGTGCTGAGACTGCTGCCTATTTATTGTGTGCTTGTACAGCGCCTACCACAATAGGGTTCTGGTCAATGACTGTGGCTCCTAGGTGTTACTATAATCCAAATAGATAATAGTAGTAGGAATATATCTACGTGGATGGTGTGGTTGCTGAAAGGAAGAACCTGTGTTTAACATATGTGAATGAAACCTTTGTCAGGTGGCTGTTATCAGAACTCTAGTACTGCACCAACCACACTGAATGATTCCGGGAAAGCAATACACTATCTAATTTCAGTCAGTTGACAGGATTTCCAAGGTCTTCCTGCCTATTCGTGATTTCCTGTGTTGCATGAGAACACACTGGCCAAAACAAATCTTTCCACTTTCTTCCAAGTTCTCCATAGGAGTGGAATAGCTGCCTTGTGAGCTGAAATTGGCTATGTATGTATTATCTGAGCTCTCCCAAGCAGACTGTTGATCATCCTGTAGGATACTCTGAATTCAGTGCTCACTGCTTAATGAATCATAGAATCACTGAAATCATAGAATCACTGTAGGGCTGGAAGGGACCTTGAGAGGTCATCAAGTCCAGCCCCCTGCACTGAGGCAGAACCAAGCAAAAACCTAGACCATACCTGACACCTCTTTTGTCTAGCCTGTTCTTAAAAATCTCCAATGATGGGGATTCTACAACCTCCATTGGAAGTCTGTTCCAGAGGTTAATTTCCCTTACAGTTAGATTAGCTATTAGAAAAAAAAATTAAATCTTCCTGGCTGCAGTTTAAGACCATTACTTGTCCTACCTTCAGTGGGCTTGAAGAACAGTTGATCCCCATCCTTTTTATAACTGCCCGTAACGTATTGGAGGCTGTTATCCGATCTCCCTTCAGGATTCTTTTCTCAAGACTAAGCAGGCATAGTTTTTTAACCTTTCCTTATAGGTCAGGTTTTCTAAACCACTTATTTTTGTTGCTCTTGTCTGGACTCCCTCCAATTTATCCACATCTTTCCTAAAGTGTGGCACCCAGAACTGGACACAATACTCCAGCTGAGGCTTCACCAGTGCTGAGTAGAGTGAGACTGCCTGACTTTTCTTACATGTGATGCTCCTGTTGGAACATCTCAGAATATTAACCTTTTCCACTACTGCATCTCATTATTGCCACTCATTCAATTTGTTATCCACTATAACCCCCAGATCCTTTTCAGCAGTACTGCCACCTAGCCAGTTATTCCCCGTTTTGTAGGTGTTCATTTGATTTTTTTTTCCTTCCTAAATATAGTACTTTGCACTTTTTTGAATTTCATCTCATTGAATTCAGTGTCAGACCAATTCTCTAATTTGTAAAGGTAGTTTTGAAATCTAATCCTGTCCTCCAAAGTGCTTGCAACCCCTTAATATCTTCCACAGATTTTGTAAGCATACTCTCCACTCCATTATCCAAGTCATGAATAAAGATATTCAATAGTACCCGACCCAGAACTGACCTGTGTGGGGACCCCCCTAGAATGTTTTCTGCAAGCATAATCACAGCCCAAAAGATGCCATTAGCCTTGGTTTGGACAGTATTCATCCCTCCAAACAGGCATTTCCTTGATGAAGTAGTAAGAGGACAGCAAAGAAATGTGGTTACTCCTAGTAGCTGGAGCCTCCATTACATCTACAGCATCGTCCTTGTTGCGCAATTTACTCCTGTAGTGTCCCTCTATTACAAGATATTACTTGAGTTTTGAAGGTCTGGTGGTGATGAGAGAGAAACTTCCATCCAGGCTTTCAGTTCTTCAGTAGCTCAGGGGTATTGCCCGGCTATCCATGTTGTTGTTTGAGGAGAGAGTGAGGCTTTTGCTATGGTGAGTAGCCCTCCTTGTGTGAATTGCACTGTGGACACGTCTATTAGTGTATCTCTGTTCTGCCTGTGTTGCCACGGCTTCATCAGAGTTGCTATGTTGTTATGGTAGCAGGAATATTTTTTAAATAACTGTAGCAATAACCTGTGCATGGCACCAGCTTTAGATAACTCAAAGTAAATATTTACACATTTAACAGCTGCTTGGTAATGTCTAGCTGAGCATGTTGTCTGTTTTGGGACGAAATTAATTTTTAATGTTTTTTAACACCTATATCTCTCAGGACACATCATGCACACATATAATGTTGTCCTTTTACTTAAATATAATTTGCTTATTTTTTTGATGCAGGCATTTGGATTAAATGACTAAGTTATGGAGTTCAAGTTAAAACTTGCAGCTTTCATTTAGTAAGCAGTGAGGGGAAAATGAAATGGCCCCAGCTGCACTCGTTACTTTTCTGTCATATATCTTCAGTATTTGAGACTTAAGGCTTTTAGTGAACACACTAAATGAAACCAAGTTATTGTGTTTAGATTCAGTTAGTTATTTATGTTGCCATTTATTATAACAGTGTCCATGTTGTTTCTTAATAGGATATGTTTAATCTTTTATTATCCACTTCAAAGCTGTTTTCTCTTCTAAAACCTTTTATTCAGTGTAGTTTGTGTAGACATGTTGTTTTTAAATCAAATTTAAAATAACATAGAGTTAAAAACTCTTTGCAATGCAGCCAATTATTCCATGCCTGTAGAACCAAACAATTTGTGATGCTCTTTTTAGCGCGTTCCTGGGTTTTCTTAGCACTTACTAATTGCCACTTTTTCTTTACTTAGCTATCATCAATAGCAACATAAACCTAACAGCAGATCAGATAGTTAACACAGACTCTCTTTTGTTGTGTGTTGTGTGTGTGTGTGTGTGTGTGTGTGTTGGGGGGCGGGGAAATGTTCTGGGTGTGAGGCTAGGATAAGGAATTGGCACAAATGGGTGTATATTAACTAGAGCTTGGTGTTTTCCTGTCTCGTGAAAAATTTAGAGGTTTCAAATGTGTTCCTGATCCACATTGGGACCAAACTGAGATCTTTTTCAAGGATTTTCTCAAAAAGAGAGACCGTGCTTGCGTGCTGCTCCTTGAATAGCCCATTGGTTAGGGTACTCACTTGGAATATGGGACACACAAATTCAAGTCCCTGCTCTGCCTGATTTGGACCAGACACTTGAATGTCAGTCTCCCACATCCCAGCTGAGTGCCCTAACCCATGGACTGTTCTGGAGTCTGGGGGGTGGGGAGGGGGAATGTCTCAATTGCTCCTGTTAAAGCTGAGTATTTATTTATACAAAGCTGAACAGATCCAACAGGAGAGACTGAGATCTCAAAACAGCCGGTGGTTAGGGCACTCTGCTGAGATGTGGGAGACTGATGTTCAAGTGTCTGGCCCGAATCAGGCAGAGCAGGGAATTGAAGTTCTGATTTAGGCCAGGAATTACATCCTAGACCTGAGAAACTGTTCCCGATGACAATTCTGTCAAAACTGATACTTTCCTGCAAAAAAAATACTATTTTGATTAATTGATATTTTCTAATGAAAAACCATTTTGTCAGAAAATTTCTTCCACCTCCAATATTCACCCCAGAAAAGCACTATTTTGGTAATTTTTTCCTTTATACACACTCACACAAATGGATGACGTACAAATAATTCCACTGTAACTTGACTTCTCCTGACCCTCTGATATATATGGATTTTATGGATCTCAACTATCCTATTTTCCTTCTCTGCTTCTCTTGCGAGAAGGAATACTGCTATGATCCTTGAAAAGACTCCCAAGTGTAGTCCATGCTGCAGTGGGGCTAGCGCTATGCTTGGTAGGGTTTGCAGGATGAGGACCTGTGAGTTACTTGATGACAGAACTTGTTATAATATCTATGGGCCATTGTTTGTCACTTAACCACGTGGGTACTGGGGACATAATACACACTTGACAGTTCTGTGGATAAATATAGTTATATATACAGACATTATCTGCTGCTGCTTTAAATATTCCTTTCACAACCTTGGCATAGAAGAGCTGGGTGGGGGGGTTAGAAAAAGGGAAAGCCTATTGAAACACATGTCTCTTATTTACTTCTCTGTAGTCCCCTGCTGATAGATCTCAAAAGATTCATGCTGGTGATGAGGTGATCCAGGTTAATCGTCAGACTGTAGTAAGTAATCAAAAGCCCTATCAACCTTTTCCTAAGCCTTGGTTATTATGCAAGACTTTTCCCTCCAACTGGGTAACAAGCTTTGTTGTATTTAGGGTTTTTTTGTGTGTCCTTATTGCAATGTGTGTAAAAATGGTTTGACTTTAATGTAGAAGTCATTTCTGAAAACACTTGAAAGGTTTGATTTTTATCACACATTGTTTTTCAATAAATCCTTGTAATATTTTTGGATAAAATGATATCTTATTTAGGGCCTATGTTTAAAGTGAAATGTTGCATTTGTGTATGTTTAAAAAGTTGGTATTTTTTAATTAATAAGAAATTCTTTTTGGCAAATATCTTTTAGCCCCTCGGAAAGTTGAGGGATTCTCCCTCTCCCCCCTCATTGTAGTTCCCTGTCCCATGAACAGTCACGTTTGCATTTAACTTCACACACAAGAGCAGACCCATAGAACTCAATGGCATTAAAGATTAGGTATTTATATTGTAATAATGACTGCATATGTGTTCGAAGTTGAGCAAATGCATAAGCCCATGCTGGACTGGAGCCTGACCTATCACAAATGGACGTGCACTTGAAATAATTGTGGTACATATTTGAGAGACCTCCTAAAGAAAAAAGTTAGCATTTCAAGTTTTGTACCCTTTTCGGCTGCTTCAGTGGGTTTCTTCTATTTTGTGTGTGTTCATTTGTGGTGTTTGAGAGAAACAGTCTGACCTGGTTATATTCCATTCATTTTGAATGCATGTAAAGAGGTACTTTTTATTCTTTTTAAGGTGGGATGGCAACTAAAAAACCTTGTGGGAAAGTTGCGAGAGAATCCTTCTGGAGTTAAACTGCTACTTAAGAAACGTCCTACAGGCTCTTTTAATTTTACTCCAGCCCCACTGAAGAACCTACGCTGGAAACCACCACTTGTACAGGTGATACAATGACGGAAGAATTGTGTTTATACGTTAATGGTTGGATATGAATTACTTAAAATCCCCCCCCCAAGATAATTTATTCATTAATATCTGACATCGTCAGCCAGTATGACCATATATCTATGGAGTTTTGGAGGTGTTCATTGTGAAATGGCTGTCCCTTTTGGATCAAAGTTAAAATGAGAAGGGGTCCTTTTTTAGCCAAATAAATCTCATCTAACATTCCAAAACAATAAAAGTACTTAACATTGGCTTTCATAATCCAAATGATCAAGGCACTGATTTTAGAAAAAAAAACATTTGAGGCTGAAAGGCTGATAATCTGCACTGATGAATTTTGTAAGTAAACAATAAATACTGAGATTGGTTTGGAAAACTGATAAGAGATTATTTTTGCTGAATAAACTAATGCTATCCAATGTATACTTCCTTTTTAGTCTGCAGAAGGAAAAATAGTTCAAGCTCTGAAAGAAAAGGGAGTGAGCTTCTTGTTTGTTTTGCGTATGTGTTCAAATGACGTATGTAAGCATGATTTGGATGTTGAGAAAGCCAGAGGAGGGGTAATGAGTGGGGGAGGAACAGGGGTTAATAACTTCAAAGACTAGTTTTGGAGGACAGCATGTTATAGCAGAAAGCAATTTGTTTAACAGCTACAGGAAGAGACAATTAATTACATTCTCCTCTAATAAATTACCTATGACTACAGGTACCATTTTTTCCTTTGTTTCAGCCTCTGTTCTGGCACAAGATCCCTATAGCTATGGGGGTAGTTGTTTCTCAGCAAAGTGTATAGATGGCTATCTGGAGTGCTTGAGGGGTGTGTGTATGTGCATGCATGTTCCAGAAAGCTGTAAGTCTCATTCAAAAGTAGCAGGGAATTCAGATTATCAGGTTACACCTGTGCGCTTTGAGCAGCATTATTATTTTTTTTTTTTTTATTTTATTTATTTTTTTTTTTTAAATGGAGATATCCTATCTCCTAGAGCTGGAAGGGACCTTGAAAGATCATCAAGTCCAGCCCCCTGCCTCCGCTAGCAGGACCAAGTACAGATTTTTCCCCAGATCCCTAAGTGGCCCCCTCAAGGATTGAACTCACAACCCTGGGTTTAGCAGGCCAATGCTCAAACCACTGAGCTATCCCTCCCCCAGTTTTACATGGTTTACAATGTGTACACGATTTATAGTACAGGGTCATTTAAAATGTGACCATCCAAAGATCTGGGTGAATATACAAAAAAAAAAAAACAAATCTATCCAATATACAAACTCTGCCCTAGTGTCCAAAGCTAACCCCCTGCCCCTACACACACCATGTTCTCTCTAGCACACCTTCCATTTCAGGCACTTGAGGGATATGGTGACAGGTTATAAGAAGAACCAGATAGTCTCCCGCCTCATTCTCCCTCTCCCCTGCAAGAGAGAGAAAATAATTTGAAGCTTTCCCCTGAAGGACATCAAATCCAGGGTCTGGCAGACCACAGGGAGAGAAGTTTACTTCAAAGCTTAGGAGATTCTGAGACTGTCTGGCCCCTTCTGCAGCCTGTCTTGTTAAACCAGGGCCTGTTAGCTTGAGTGTGTCAGCTGATCACAGTTGTTCAAGTAGATGAGGATGTTTATTCCATTTAGGTGTCTGTGTCCAGCACGCTTAGAAGTACACGTACAGGGGTGGTGGTCATGCCTCGTGGCTGTGGCCCCTCCCCTGTTATATGAGGTGCCGCTGCCCTGACCCTCCCCTCCCCCCCCCCCCCCCTCCTCTC